ACAGGATGACAATTGCCGGCCTTTATGAGTATATACTCCATTCAACGACAAGTTCATCAAGTTAGTGCTATTGCATGAGCAACAAAGGCTAAATACTCCATTACAAAGATCGGGGAAGCCATGAAAAGACAATATGCTACCAATTGAACGAAGATCAGTCAGCGGACAACTTGAAACTCAGAGTAAAGGAGGCCATGCGAAGAGAAAAAGTCAACGCCCTAAAATCGAAACCACTCCATGGACAGTTCTACTAACCTACACAAAACCAATGTAGATAAACACATGTCCCTGGATTGGATGAAAAGTACAGGACTGAAGCGGCGACTGAAAGTCTACTGATTGCTGCACAGGACCAGGCACTTACACACGCGCTACCATAGAAGAATGGTCTGAAACAGAATGTCGACAGCAAATGCAGAATATGCCATCAATGTGAACATATAAGCCACATTATTTCAGGCTGCTCAACACTGGCACCAACAGAATACACCGAAAGGCACAACAACGTCGCTAAATACATACACTGGGCTATCCTCAAGCAGCACCAAGTACCAGTTAGCAACAACTGGTATGATCATTCTCCTGAAGCAGCAGCAGTAGAGACAGACGAAGCATTAATTATGTACGACAAAGGAGTCATTACCGACCGTACGATTTCCGCCAACCGACCTGATTTATTACCAAATAAAACACAGAACACATGTCTGCTAATTGAGGTATCTGTACCAGACGACAACAAACGTCAACACCAAAGAAGCGGAAAAGGCCAGAAAATACAAAGACCTCGAAATCGAAATATCGCGCATGTGGAAGACAAAGACAGAACGGTACCCGTGATCATCGGAGCTTTGGGGACTGCCACTATGTCATTCAAGAACAACATAAAAGAACTCCCCGGAGATGTCTTTGCAACACAAGTTCAAAAGATAGCACTGCTAGGAACAGCCCACATTTTGCGGAAAAACCCTTTCCGACTAAGACCTTAGAACTCAGGCAGAGTTCCGGTCAAGCTCATCCCTTCCTCTAGGAGTGAAATACGATAATATAATAATAATACTAATATAATAATAATAATAATATAATAATAAATAATAATAATAATATAATAATAAGGGGTCTGGCCGGTAAGGGGACTGCCGCCAGCAGTTTCAAACCCCCGACCGTAACGACGTAGACGGTACAGCCAGCAACGCAACGTCTGGCCTCGACTACTGTTATTAACACCGAAGGAAAGTCAGTACGGCCCGCACACCTCCTGTTCATCCAGGCGTGGTTTTTGTCTCTCTTCCACGCCTGAGTTAAACACTTTAGATAAACAATTATACCTACCTATCAAAAGAGAACACAATTACCAGAAATGGAAAAAACAAAATGAAGCCTCGGAATGTAACGACGTAATCGGGACTCGACGCTATGCGACGAGGTCCGCGTCCGGCAGAGAGCGTAGGGGAAGGTCGCACCCGGTCGTAATCCAGCGAAAGCCCCCCACAGATGTGAGAGAAGTAACTCGAATGACCCCATCCAACAGCTTCCTGGGGTCGAAGATGGCAATCATGTTGCTGGAAGCCAAGAGCCCCAGCCCATAATGCCAGACAATAGGAGGAGAAAAAGAACCACGTGGACCACTGAAATGAACAGATTTGTGGTTCGCTCCTACTACAGAATAACTAAACTAGAAACATCTACAGAGCCCTATGGTACTGAACTACACAAACAAGTTATCATGAACTTCCCTCACCTGCAAGGCAAAAACTGTGCAAAACGTACTAGACCAGCGCGATCCGTATTCATAAACAACAGATTGCCGGCAGAGGAGATAAACAAAATAGGAGAGAGATATCCATAGAATTAGGAATGCAGGTACAAGCTCCGCAAGAGCACACAGAAAACCAAGAACAATTGAGATAAACGATGGCCAACCCTCTAAATACGCAGATGAGTTCAGGGGCTTGTTCATGAAGTATGATGGTGTGGAACCAACTCTTAAACCAAGCCTACCAAAGCTAATAATAAAACCCCATACATCTGAGTATATCGCTGAAGTTAACAAAGTACTAGATAACGAGATTACAGAAGATACAACCTTGACTGAGCTCCATAGCCTTTGTAGGGTAGAGTGGGGTTAACTGAACAGGTAGGTTAACTGAACACATCGATGTTCCTGCCATCTAGTAATGATAAATTAAACTTGATTTTGCTGCTGAAAGCGTCTTTTGTTACGTGTGTTGACACTGTTCGGTGCAGATTTTTTAAGTCGGTTCTAATCTCGTAAATCAGCAAACATATTTTTAATGGCCGCCACGTAAAATTTGTGCTCCCAAGTTTTTTTGTGTTACAGTTAGCAAAATACAGTTTTTAAATTGGTTTGACGTATATTTTGTTCAGTAAGTATTTAGCATTTATTTCTTGTGTTTACCTAAGCTTAACATTATTTTTTAATCAAATTTTTCTTTTGCTTATGTATTGGTGCACAGTGGGTATAACTGGACATCTCATGTATGTGTTATGAACAGGTGTTCAGTTAACCTGCGTTATTTATTTATATTATTTTGTCTACAAATTTAGTTTATTTTTAGAATATGCCAAGAAAAAGACTACGTACTACCAATAACAGATCATATAGTGTAGCAGATCTTAGACAAGCATGTGAAGAAGTCCTGACACATGGTCGAACAACTCGAAGTGTTGCACTTCAGTTTAAAATCCCAGAATTACTTTAAAAAGGTATGTCGATAAATGTCGGGAAAAAAACAACTTGGATATAAATTTTCGCCCCAACAACGAACATCTTTTGGCTTTTAGTCCCGATGAAGAATTACTTCTTAAAAATACTTAGAGCATGCATCTAACATTCAGTATGGCTTGTCTTCTAAACAAGCTCGTATTCTAGCTTACGAGTTTGCGGTGGCCAATGGCAAAACCATAAAAGAAGTTGGTCCCGAGAAGCAATGGCAGGCAAAGAGGGATGTTTAGATTTATGAACAGGCACAACTTTTCGTTGAGGACGCCAGACAACAACAAGCTTAAGTAGGGCAACCAGTTTTAATAAGACAAATGTGGAGGCATTTTTTAAAAATTTTAGAGAGATTAAAGAGAGATATAATTTGCAATCTAATGATATATACAATCTAGATGAATCCGGTGTAACCACAGTCCATAAACCTCCTAAGGTTCTTGCAATTAAAGGAAAAGAAATGTAGGCCAGATGACGTCGGCTGAAAGAGGGACGCTCGTAACTGTTGTAGGAATTATTGGAGCTACAGGACGATATGTTCCTCCTTTTTAATATTTCCCCGAGTACACTTTAAAGAAAATATGCTCCATGGAACTCCAGCTGGCTCTAAGGGTGGAGCTTCGCCTTCTGGATGGATGAACAGTCAGTTGTTTCTTCCTGTGTTGCAGCATTTCGTACAAAACGAGAGACCATCTAAAGAACATCCCAAACTAATAATCCTTGATAATCATGAGAGTCACTTAGGTATTGCAGCACTAAATTTTGCTAAGCAAAACGGTATACTCCTTTTGACATTGCCACCCCATTGCAGCCACAAGCTGCAACCATTGGATTTAGCAGTATTTGGGCCATTTAAAAAATATTATGGTGCAAGTTGTGACAGATGGATGGTAAATCTGCCGGAAAACCTATCACTATTTATGACATCGGATGTCTGGTTGGAGAGGCTTTTTTGCAAGCGTTTACTCCCAAAAAAAAATATATGCAGTGGATTTCGTTGCAGCAGGAATAGAGCCGTTTAATGACCAAATATTTTCGGATGAAGAATTTCTTTCGTCATATGTTACAGATAGACCAGGGAAAACATCAGAGGAAGAGGCACCACAAGCTGGGTCGTCACAAGATAATACATCACTGCCTAAACCAATTCAACATGGCATGACAGATCCTGTTCTGTCACAATTTCAGCTCTCAAATATCAAGAATCACAAGCCGGACCATCACAAGCTGAATCGTCGAGCACTGCTAAACTACAAACTGAAAAATCACAAACCAAACCGACTTTATCTTCAATTGAGATAAAAAAGCCGACATTACAAATTATAACTCCTGAACAGATCCGTCCTCACCCCAAAGCTGGTGAACGAAAGTCTACAATTCGACGAAAGAAAAAATCTCTGATTTTGACAGACACTCCAGTCAAGAGAACATAGAGGAAGAAGCAAGACTTCGAGAAGAAAAAGCACAAAAAAAAACCAAAGAACTAACAAGAAAAAAGAGGCAGTAAAAAGACGTATTCTAGAAGACAGCTCTTCTGATGATGACAGTGTTATCTATGAAGAAAGCTCGGATTCTTTAGAAGAATTTGATGCATATGACGATAGTCCACAAGCTGTGACAAAAGGCGATTTTGTAATCGTGAAAGTGTATGGGCAAATAAATAAATTTCAGACATTATGTTGGTGAAATTATTCATGCTGTAAATGATGGTTTTGAGGTTACTTTTTTAAAACGCCACAAAGAAACAAAATATTTTTTAAAAATAATGAAAATGGCTTGTTGTAAAAGCTGATATTGTTTGTAAGTTACCCATGCCAGCCAAAAGTAACAGCGCTAGATATGCCAACATGGTGTCATTTCAAGTTGATTTAAATGAATTTGACTTTACAGTTATTAAAATTACCTACAATATTTTCATACATGTTCAGTATGTTTGACTTTTACAGTTTATTAAAAGTATCTATAATATTTTAATGTATCTTCAGTATGTTCTTATTATAAATAAAAATGATTGTTAAAAAGTGTTGACATATTTTCTATGATATATTTTTAACATTTTTATTATAGCTAGTCGCCTTATTCGCTAGAGGGCTAGACTTGTATTTAGGGTATTAGGTTGGTAATAGTAAATGATGGAAAGCTTGCCAGCCTTCTTATGGTTTAGTGCCCTGAATTTTCCAGCATGGCCATTTTTGCTGTTTAACAATTTATGACAAATTTATTGTATATTTCTGTCAATTAAATAACAAAAATGGCAGCGCATGAAGATTCCAGGGCACTAAATCATAAGAAGCTGACAAAATTTCCATGTAGAAAGTGTTAAGTAAAAGTAAATTTAAAAAACTATCTTGTTTGTACCTCTGTTCAGTCAACCTGCATAAGTGGTCCAGTTAACCTGACAGGCAGGTTAACTGGACAATTTGATAGGTTTTAAAAAAGTCAATCTGTCATACACATAAATTTAAATTTAACTTTAACATTACGTTTTCCAATTACTTACATAACTACCAAGCATGGTCACAAAGGTATGTTTTAGCAACGATTTACTGGTCAAAAACAGAGTTTAAATTTTGATGGGTCCAGTTAACCCCACTCTACCCTACATTGGAGCACTTACAGTCCTAAAATTAATGACAGAGAGTTGGCGAACAATGTGTAAGGAAAAACAGAAAACTGCCAGCCTGGGAGATGAGGATATCGCGTAATATAGAGGAGATTAGAAAGGACATAGCAATACTCACCCAGTACCGCAGGTCTGAATGTAGTCTGAGAGTAAAGAGATCCGCAGAGAATGTGATAAACCGTCACTGCTCGGAGGAGAACCCAACAGCTGTAGAAGTCTTGGACTACCTGAAGCAAAAACTAGCAGCTACAGCACTGCGACTTCGAAGGTACAAGAAAAGCAATGAACGCCGAAAGCAAAATCGAGCATTCGAGACCAATCAGCGAGGCTTTTACAGGAACTTGCAGGCGCGACGGAGGGATACAGATCAGAACAACGTTCAGATTCCTACCTCAGATGCCATCAATACCTTCTGGTCAGGAATTTGGAGCAATCCAATCAATCATTCCACATCTAAATGGTACCGCCAAGAGAAAGCAAATAATTCAACTTTTAGGACCATGCTCGACTGGAAAGTAAGCTTAGATGACGTGGTAAATACTCTACGAAAATTACCAAACTGGAAAGCCCCAGGATCAGATAAGCTTCAGAATTATTGGCTAAAAACGTTCACTTCGGCTCACGATCGACTCGCAAAGTGTTACACCTCAATCTTAGAGCAACCAGATATGTTGCCAGAGTTCTTAACAATGGGAATAACATATTTAATCCCAAAGTGCGGCGATCACTCTAACGATCCGGCAAAATACCGACCAATCACCTGTCTGCCGACTATTTACAAGGTATTGACTGCTATAATTACTGAAAAGATATATTCACACCTAGAGCGGAATACTATACTAGACGAAGAGCAAAAAGGTTGCCGAAAAGGGTCTCGAGGCTGTAAAGAGCAACTTGTTATAGACTCTGTCATAACTAATTATGCCAAAAAGAGAAAAATACCCCTGTACATTGCATACATCGATTATCAGAAAGCGTTTGACAGTATACCTCACTCTTGGCTGTTAGAGGTGCTTGACCTTTATGGGATCGAGTGCCACATCAAACAATTTCTGGCACATGCTATGCCGAATTGGAAGACACGGCTCTATCTCAACACCCAAGATACGCAATTTAGTGCCGGAGAGGTATCCATCAAGAGAGGAATATTTCAAGGAGACTCTTTAAGTCCGCTATGGTTCTGCTTAGCGCTTAGACCGTTAACAACAATGCTAAATAGCCAAAAGAAAGGAATACTGTTAGGTGGCAATGAAACACGCATTTCACATATTTGGTACATGGATGACCTCAAACTTTTTGCAGAAACCAAAGAAGACCTTCATAAGCTTCTGGACTGTGTAAGTAAATTCAGCACTGACATCAAGATGCTGTTTGGCTTAGACAAGTGCAAGATCAGTTGCATGGTAAAAGGCCAATGGAGTAAACATTCAGGATATGAGCCGAACCAAGTGCAAGGGAAAATTGAAGGAATGCAGCAAGATGAACAGTATAAATACTTAGGCTATCTACAAGCGCCGGGCATAGACCAGAAGCTGCAAAAGAAAAGGGAATGGAGCACTATAGAACACGTTTGAGGGCGGTGCTGAAACAAGTCTGTCAGCTCGTAATACAGCACTTGCTGTCAGCACCTACGCTACTTCGGTCATTACCTATACGTTTTCATACTGAACTGGACGGATACAGAACTGAACGCACTTAATGTGGAAACCAGAAAAGAATTCCGTAAACACCGGGGACACCACCCACATAGTTCCATAGAGCGGTTCCATCTACCACGAAGTGAGGGTGGCAGAGGAATACCTTGCATACCTACACTACATCACCGCCAAGTGGACAATCTACGCCAGTACTTCCTCCAAAAAGCCGCATCCAGCAGAATGCATCAAGCAATAACACAGACGGATAAAAAGTTGACACCACTAAACCTTTCAGAAAAATCTTTCGACCCTGAGGCAAAGATAACCCCAGTGCAGGATCTGGTTCGCCAATGGAAAGCCAAACCACTACATGGTCGGTATAGGAGCCGCATAGAAGACAACGCCATTGACACGAAGGCTCCCAAGGATGGTTGCAGTCAGGTAATCTGTTCCTGGAGACGGAGGGCTTCATAGCCTCCATCCAGGATCAGGTAGTCCCAACAAAGTTGTACCGAAAGCGTATAATGCATGAGAACGTTGACGATATCAGATGCCGCATATGTGGGGAAGAAGATGAGCACATAGATCATATTGTAGCAGGCTGCTCTCCCTTAGCTCCTAAACAATATCGTGAAATTCACAATGATGTGGCCAAAATACTTTATCAAGCTTTGGCTAAAAAGCATCTAGGAGAAACTGGTACACAGCCCTACTATAAATACATGCCGCCACCTGTGATAGAAACGGAGACCTCTAGGCTGTACTGGAACCGTAAAATCATAACTGACAGGCCCATCCCCAACAATATTCCTGACATAGTGCTCACACTAAAAGAAGAAGGAACGACGTTTATAATAGACATAGCTGTGCCTCTTCCTACTAATATCCAAACCACCCATGCGGAAAAAATCAATAAGTATTTGCCACTCTCCGACGAAATCAAACGCATGTGGGAAATGGGCAATGTGTCTATAATACCAGTTATAATAGGAGCTACTGGAGAGATACCAAGGAAACTACACAAGAGTCTGGAAAAGCTACAGCTCCATCCAAAAATATACTTGCAACTGCAAAAAGCTGCACTGCTGGGACATGTAGGACAGTACGTAGGGTTTTAGGAGATGAGAACCGGATACGGTGAAAAGACCGCTGCAGATCTATTTCCTTACTTTGGCTACCGCCTGAGGTAAATATTAATACCTTCGCAGATGAGTAAATAGTATAAAATAATAATAATAATAATAGTTATAATAATAATACTAATTATAATATCATAATATAAGTGTAATTATAATATAATAGTAATTATAATAATAATAATACCTGTAATAATTATAATAATAATAATATAATGGTAATTATAATAATAATAATAATAATATATAATAATAATAATAATAATAATATAATAATAATAATAATAATAATAATATAATAATAATACTAATTATAACAATAATAATAATAATGTAATTATATAATAATAATACCTGTAATAATTATAATAATAATAATAATAATAATAATAATAGTAATTATAATAATAATCATAATAATTATAATAATAATAAGATATATAATGATACTTATTAATAAAATTTATCATAATAATGTTAATAATAATAATTATTACTATAATTATAATAATAATAATAGTAATTATAATAATAATACAAGAATAATTATAATAATAATAATTATAATAGTAATTTTAATAATAATAATAATAATAATTATAATAATAATAATAATAAATGGGTCTGGCCGGTAAGGGGACTGCCGCCAGCAGTTTCAAACCCGCTACCGTAACGACGTAGACGGTACAGCCAGCCAGCGCAACGTCTGGCCTTAACCAACAGTTAAGCTACTGATATTAACACCGAAGGATAGTCAGTCCGGCCAGCACGCCTTCCATTTATCCAGGCGTGGTTTTTGTCTCTCTTCCGCGCCTGAGTTTCAACATTTTAGGTAAACAATTACACCTACTTATAAAAAGAGAACAAAATCACCAGAAATGGAGAAGGAACAAAATGAAGCCTCGGAATGTAACGACGTAATCGGGACCTCGTCGCTATGCGACGAGGTCCGCGTCCGGCAGGGAACGTAGGGGAAGGTCGCACCCGGTCGTCATCCAGCGAAATCCCCCCAACATCACCACATATGAATGACCTAACACAACACCACCAAGCGGTCAATGCTGGTAATAATGTTGCTGTGGACGCATCGCCCCAGCCCATGTTACCAGCCCATAGTAGACGGCAGAGAACCACTTGGACGACAGAAATGAATGAGTACGTGGTTCGCTGCTACTATACAATTACCAAATTGCAAACTTCACAGGAACCTTATGGTGCTGAATTGCATAAATTAGTGACAGAAAAATTTCCCCAGTTAAGACAAAAGACACTGCAGAACATCCTAGACCAGCGCAGATCTATATTTGTGAACAGCAGATTGCCAGCGGAGAGAATAGATACAATTAGGCATGAAGTAGCAACCGAATTGGGCATGGTAAATGATGCACAGCAGAGTCAAGAGCAAGCAAATGACGCTCCGACTGAACGCCAAGCTATTCGCCATCAGTGCTGGAGGAGGAATTTAGAGCCATCATAATGAGCTATGACGGTATAGATCCGACAAAAAAGCCTCGGCTACCCAAACTATTTTGCCAACCCAACGGCAGCTAAAAACCTACGTGAAATGAACAGAATTATCGCTGCAGATATTAGCGACCAAACAGATTTTAAGGACCTACACGCCATGATCTATGCTGGGGCGTTCGCGTTCTAAAGCTAAAACGGTCAGAGGACCTACAGATGTTACAAGTCGGAACGGAACTAAAAGGCAGCCAGCTTGGGAGAGGAGGCTAAGCAAGACATAGATAATATCAGGAGCGATATAGCTATCCTAACGCAGTACCAAAAACCGACATACAGCCAAAGAGTGAAAAAGAAAGGGGACACAATAATGCGACGATATACATCGGAGAGAAAACCCAACCATAGTCGAAGTTTTGGACCTTCTAAGCAGAGACTATTAGCCTTATCTCAAAGAGTGAAGAGATATATGAAGAGCAGCCAACGTCGTAAACAAAACATCCTATTTCATAGAAATCAGAGAGCATTTTATAAATCTGTGGGCAAAGAATCAGATCGTACCTACAAGGAAAAACATCATTTCCTAACACAGAAGACATAAGACACTTCTGGAGCGGTATATGGAGCAACCCCAGAGAACACAGAACAGCGCATTGGTATCAGCAAGAGAAGGCTAGAACTTCCATACAAGCAATGCTGTCTTGGACCATAACTAAGGATGATGTAGTGAAAGCAATAGGTAGGACTTCCAATTGGAGAGCTCCAGGGCCAGATGGTGTTCACAATTACTGGATAAAGGCATTTACTTCCACCCACCAACAACTTGCGAAATGCTACTCAACATTCCTCGAGAGGCCGGAAACTATCCCAGAATTTCTAACAACAGGAGTTACATACCTGATCCCAAAAACTGAACAATATACTGCTGATCCCGCAAAATACAGGCCAATTACTTGCCTTTCTACAGCGTATAAACTCCTTACTGCTATATTGGCTGACAAAGTACATAATCATTTGGAACGTAACAACTTATTGGATGAGGAACAGAAGGGTGTCGGAAGGGCTCAAGAGGATGTAAGAACAACTGATAATCGATGAAATAATAACGGGTAGTGCCAGAAAAAAGAAGTCGCCCTTGTTCACTGCATACATCGATTATCAGAAAGCATTTGATAGTATTCCACATTCATGGTTAACGGAAGTGCTACACCTTTATGGCATAGAAAACCATATCGTGAAAAACTATTGACCTATGCAATGTCCAAATGGAAAACACGTCTCTGTCTTAACACCCCAAACTCGCAGATAGATGCTGGAGAAGTCAGTATAAAACGAGGGATCTTTCAGGGCGACTCTCTAAGCCCGCTATGGTTTTGCCTAGCTTTTACGCCCACTAACATCGCTGTTAAACAGTCAAGAAAAAGGCGTAAAGATTGCCGAGGATGGTACACAACTATCTCATCTTTGGTATATGGATGATCTGAAATTATTTGCAGAGAAGAAGGATCACCTACATGCGCTGTTGGATTGTTGTGAGCAGATTTAGCAAAGATGTGCAATGACGTTTGGTTTAGATAATGCCGCATAAGTTGCATGACTAAAGGTAAGTGGACAGAGCATGAAGGGTATAAAGTAAGAGGGTCGCAAGGGGAGATCATCAATATGCAAAGGGATGAACGCTACAAATACTTAGGCTACCTCCAGGCACCAGACATAGACCAAAAAATGTCGAAGCAAAGATCTACCGACGAATACTTGAGAAGATTAAGGATCATTCTTAAATCAGAATTGTCTGCTATAAATACGTCTGTTGCAGTGAACGCCTACGCAGCGTCAACGCTTACCTTCACCTTCGGTATACTCAATGGACTGATACTGAGCTGAAAGCCCTAGATATAAGTACCAGGAAAGAATTCCGTCGGTATAGGGCGCATCATCCTAAAAGTGCAATAGAGCGCTTCCACTTAGCACGGCGCGAAGGAGGAAGAGGAATCCCCAGTATGGTGTCCAGACATTACCAGCAAATTGATAATCTAAGGACATACTTCTTGGAAAAGGCGAGTAGTAGCAGAATGCATCAGGCACTAGCCACAGAGATAAGGGCATTACCCCACTGAACCTAGCCAACCTAGCTCTCAATCCATCCGCGATGGTGTCATCACCCCCCGAACTGATCGAGAAGTGGAAATCAAAGCCACTACATGGACGCCTATAGAACGCGAATTGAAGACCAGGCAGTAGACACCAAAGCATCCCAGAGTGGGTGCGTTCCAGTAATCTGTTCGTGGAGACAGAGGGGTTGTGATGGCTATTCAAGACCAAGTGCTGCCTACGGAAAGTCTACAGAAAGCGAATAATGGGAGAAAATATAGACAAATATCAAATGTAGAATCTGTGGAGTAAAAGCGAGAACCTAGACCACATTATCGCAAGCGTTCCACACTCGCCCAAAACAGTATCTAGAAAGACATAAAACGACTGTGGCAAAAATAAATCTACTTGGAACTGGTCACGCGCTATCTCATGAAGGACCTACTGAGCCATACTATCGCTACACGCCCCTCCCAGTTAAAGAGACTGGGTCACACAAAATGTATTGGAACAGGAAAATAATCACAGACCGCACAATACCAAACAACATCCCTGACATAGTGCTAACGTTAAAAGAGCAAAAGATAACATACATTATAGATATCGCGGTTCCGCTCCCTGTCAACCTTCAAAGTACCTACTCAGAAAAATCAACAAGTATCTACCACTGTCAGAAGAAATAAAGCGGATGTGGGGAATGAATACAGTTACGATTGTACGGATAGTTATTGGCGCAACAGGTGAGGTCCTTAAGAAGTTACACACAAGTCTTGAAAAGTTAGACCT